ACAAACTAGTCAGAGGGGACCAGCAGGCACTGGGGAAGTCCCTGTTCCCCCAAGCACTACCAGGAGTGACTAGGAATAACGGTCACAAGCTGGCAGAGGGGAGATTCAGGCTAGATATCAGGAAGTGCTACTTCACGGTCAGGGCAGCTAGGATCTGGAAACAACTTGCAAGGGAAGTGGTGCTGGTTCCTACCCTGGGGGTCTTTAAGAGGAGGCTAGATGTACACCTTGCTGGGGTCGTTTGACCCCAGTACTCGTTTCTGCCATGGCAGGGGGTCAGACTTGATGATCTGCTCAGGTCCCTTCCGACCCTAGAAACTAGGAAACTATTACCATTTTTCACCTCGCCATCCACCAGCTGTGTTCAACCAGTCCTCAGGGAGCCAGTGCTTCCCCTTTGGGCATGATGGTTGAGTAGCTGCTATGCCCACTTGAACTGACTTGGCTCATTTGGGGATGGTTGGACAAGTAGGGGCAGTGGGAGACAAAACAGCAAAAAGCCTTCAAGCATCTAGTGCTCCCAGGTGTCAAATGACCAAATATATCTGCAAAGTCAGTAGTAAAAAGTTCTCCTCTCCATGTATGCCAAGTGCTGCTGTAGATAAGCAATGCAGATTTAACACAAAAACAGAACTAGGAACAATTCCCTTTGGCACGGGAAGGTCTGGCTTACACTGTAACTGCCACTGAAGATACATGGGCCCATGGTTATGAAAATAAACCCTGGAAAAGCTTTCATGTCTTGGTCAAAACTGAATACGAGATGGACAGACAGAAGAACCAGGCAGACAAACAAGGAAATGGAGCATGGCTGGGGCTGATCAGGACAGACTGCCTAGTGCCAGACAGGTGTGCATATGTTTTGGGACAATGGAAGAGGAAGGAAAACAGAAGGAAAGTAATCACCAGAGAAAGTATTCTCTGGGCAGGCAGGGATTCTCCGAAGGTGCTGTGTGTGATCAGGATACCAGGGAAGCCACCCTGCTGCTGGATTGGCTGGTGGTAGGGGGAAGATGCTCTAGTAACTTGGGTGATGCCTTTGGATTTGGAAGATCTGAAGGCAATTCCCACTCCATCAGAGATTTCCTGTGTCACCCTGGGTGAGTCACTTAGGTTCATAGGCACTTAGATCCTATCCCACCTCTGAGGCATCTAAGCCCCTGCATCTGCCCACTCAAAAACATGCATTTCACCTTAGGTAAGTGCAGTTATTCTGCTTGAGGAGGCACAGGGCTCTCCTATTCTCATACATTTAAGGAGGTATATTATAAACCAGACACATTAACAGTCTCTTAGGGACTTTTGCAGGGTGCAGTATGATTGCATGTAGACACTTAAACGCATAAAAGTTGCCTATATGCCACTTAGATGCCTAGCAGGTGGAATCAGACTTTAGTCTCTCTGTCTCAGTTTCACATGATAGTGAAATGATCATACCACAGTAGTAGGGGTCAAATACATAGCTTTGGTAAGGCTGTTTCCCATGCAAGCCACTGGAAAGATACTAGTGATACCTGGCATTTTTTTATGAGGGCCTGGCACAGCAGCAGGAAAGATTTCGCATAGAAAAAGTACGGAACCCCTTTTTGTATCATACAGCTAAAGTCAGGCATTCTACAAGTCCAGTTATGGTTTTGCTTGGTTTTACCTGGGGATCCACTGTCAGGCGTGGCATGGAGGAGGCCCTCCCAGATACAGCGCGCTCCTGAGTGTCCACGGGGAGATAGTTGCCACGGTTAGAGGGCTGCACTCTTTTAAACTCTCTAACCTCTGGCTCCTGGAAATAAACACACAGCCAAGCTCATGGGATTTGGTTCAATTACTTTGATGCTCCTCTCCTTCCAGTGTTGGTGCTGTTGGTATTGGGAATGGCTTTGCAAGAAGGGCAGCTACATCTTCCACATTTCAGAAACTAGGGGTGGGATTTTAAGCTGGCCGAAGAGTAAGTCTAAGATCTGCTGGGTTTAGCATTAATAACAGTTTATTTGGTAAGTAGATTCTGTTTCAGACTCTGTTCCAGGGGAGCACAGACATCCAGGCCATATGTCCTGCTTGTCTGACACCAAAAATCAATCCTTTTTTATTTAAACACCAGTACGCAGACATAATACCTCAACTGGATGTTTGTAACCCCCTGGAATTTCTGTGCTCCTGCTTCTTCCATATTTAAGCTGGATGGGTCTTCTGTAATTAAACTGTCTAAATGTTTAAAAGGTGTTTTTTTCAGTCACATCCAAGTTAAACAAGAAGGGCTAAGTGCCATATTGGTATATTTTGGTTAACTTCTCTCTTTGAAAATCTCTTTTGTTTTGGTCAAAGAGAAAAATGGTGCATGATTTTGCATTGTAAGCGTGTGACACCAGAGAGATCTGCATTTTCCCCAGGAAGTGACATCAAAAGGGAGGAATTCATCTTCATTACCCTTCCTTCACTGCCAGCAGTCTCCATGACAGACTGACTATGCAGTTGTCATTTTGGGCTGACAGGTTGAATTATATGGAGAGGTGCAGTGTGTGCAATGCAGAATTACAAAAAGAGTGCTACAAACTCTGAGAAGCACACGGATCGGACTGGAAATGTACAGTGATACAACACTGCAGTCCAACAAGTGTAAGAGTGGTGCACAGATGCACACATATACACACACACAGACACTCGTGCTGCTGACCACGATGTGGGCATGTGTGTAGGCCAGAGGTGTATGTTCACATTTGTGTGACACAACTCAACAATTCAGTTTTGATCAGGGACACCAGCACTGACAACAAGATGAACATGAATCCAAAGCATCAAATACCATAGTTCAGCCCACAGTGACCCACTGAAATGAGTATTTACTAAAAGATATCAACCTGTGGAAAAAAGGATATTTTACTGCATTATATCAAGCCATTGTACTGCAGTATCACAATGTCTTAAAGCCTCCGTCAAGCTGTGAAACCTGCTGAGTGAGGAAGAACACCCGGTTGCTCAGAGGTTCCTTAGGGAAATGTCTCTGAATAGCACCTGCCGCTCAGCTAATTCAGCTGCTGTGATGAGGGTGGTAGGCTAGATTCTCAGTTGGTGTAACTCAGCACAGCTTGAATGGAGCTCTGTTGATTTACTGCAATTGCGAATCTGGGCCACGACTTTAGTACCTGGTGGTCGTGCATTATGAGTCTCTATGCTTGGGCCTGGGCATGATCTGAAACACTGGAAATCCACTGGATGCACTCAGGTTGCTCATGCAAGCTCTGTACAGATCTAAAGGTACATTTGTTTCCACTCCCTCTCTCCATCCTCTTGTCAAGCATCTGCCAGATCTCAGCCACCATGCAGGAAAGAAATATGACCCTCACTGTGCTGCATGTGTACAGAGCCTGGTAAAGGAGCTTTCATATTCCCTTTGCATTGGACCTGTCCTGCTTTAACCTATTTCAGGGTCTCACTCAAAATCTGTTGATGTCAATGTGAGTCTTTCCACTGAGTCCAGGTCCTTAAGGAATTCATTCTAATGTGTTCCAGAAACAGTTTAGAGATCACTAGTCTCCAATTTACCCACAGAAGGCAGGGTCAGGACACTTTAGCCTTATGTCCAGGATAAAAGATTCATGTTTCACTGCCAGCCAGAAGGATGCTTTTAGAGAATATTTCCCAAAATCTGTTGTAGAGGAGGGGACAATCAGCAGAAGGGTTCTACGGAGTTTACAAAATGCAAGAGGGATTTCAAGACAGTGTGTGCAGGGTAGATAAGTAGCATTGGGAGTCAGCTTTGAATACTGAGCAAGGGAGTAGTGCTGGTCTCACAAAGGAAACATGGACAAGGCAGTGCATCAGTTTACCAGTGATTGGTGCTCCTGGTACTGCCCATGTGTTGGATCCATACAAGCCAGCTGAAATATCTCTTGAGGAGAGAGTGGACTCAGGGAGGGGAACCCACTCCGGCTGCTCCTGCAAAGAGAGTCCAACATCAGTGAGAGAAAGCAAACCCTTGTGCTACAATGTCTGACAATGGTCTCTTTGCCTTCAACCTCCTGAAGAGTGGCCTTGTATCACCCAGGTCTGTATTCCTCATAGCAAGCTGCGAGTTGTGTGTGGAACGCGAAGCTGCCAATCCTGATCACTGCCCTGACAGCTCACATTTTGCTGAGAAGGGACATCAGTTTTGCCATGTGCAATGTGGGAGCCCAGTGACAATTCCAAAACTGGATTCCACATGGCTTTTCTGCTGCTTGTCTAACAATCAGAGCAGCTTTGCTCTTCAAAGACAGGATGTTTGGTTTCACTGTGGAGCAGCAAAGTTATTTTGTGGCTAATGACTGTGACTTACAATGGCAACTTCCACAGGGCTGCCTGTCATTGTTATTGCCACTTTAATCATGGTGATGGCATTCCTACTGGGACAGGTGTGTTCTTGATGGGGGCACTGTCTCCGTGGAAGATTGTATTATGTCACTTGTAAGTTTAGTGCTGGAGAAAGCTGATGCATTGACAGTCTTAATCCATATTTACTCTCAGAACAACAGAAAGAGCAAGGAGAGACGCAGGACTAACTTCCCCATTCCATGCTGCACTGTATCTCAACCCCAGAACAGAGGAACCCTCCCAAGAGATGAACGAATTCTGCATGGCCTGGCTCCAATCTGGCCATGCACAGGAGGATGGGGGGAAGGAGATGTGGCCCAGCCAGATCTGGCTGCACAGGGCTTGGGAGTTTGGAAGCAGAGGAGGGGTGGCAGTATTAATTGCCACTAAATTTCCTGACCCAGGGGGAGCCCTGTGGGCTCTGTGTACCAGATTGGTCCCATGGGCTGGGGGTTGAGCACCCCTATGCTAAACCACAATCAGACAGTAAGGACTTTTAGTCATTATGAGCCTGGACTGCTTTTAAACTGGGGATCTTGAACTAAGATACTCAGTCTCTCTTCCAGCCTGATAAGCAATCTAGCACCACTAATTTTTGCTGTAATAGCATGTTGGACAATGTTTGCACTGTTGAATATGCAAGATGATGCTATCCATGTTCTTAATTACACAAACTTTTTTTGGTGACCCTAATAAAAGAACAGACCCGAGGCTCCAAAATCAAGACGTTGTTGGTCACCATCAGGATTTCCTCTTCTCCTGGGCTCCACTTAGCATCTCTGTTTTCATGTCTAACGCACTTTCAGGGAAAGCAAGAAAGGCTGTAGGAACAGAAATACTGGAGCAAATCTCTTGCTCTCATGGCTGTACTTACAGGCCTGACAGGGTGTCTTGCTGGAGGTAAGGCAGAGCTTTGGCATTAGAAATGATCTCTTGAGGCAGAGATGAGGGCTCCATGCGCTGGAACATAGGGGCATTTTTCTGTATTAAAAAAGAAACAGTCTGAGCCTGTTGAAGATGAGGAATCTTTCTAGTGTATAAATAGCCCCCGTGCACAGAAGGATAATGGTATGGTAACGCTTCCCATTTATGAATTGGTCCCTCTAACTACTCACTTTTTCTGTGCAGCATGACTTTTAGATTGCTGTGATTATATCTGCATTAGATCACCCACCTTTTAATTTAGCTCTCATTCCCTTAACTCCCGCATCCCTTAAGTCTTCAGACTCTTTGCTTTCTTGGTACAGTGCCAGCCACTTCTAAGCTGAGGATCTGTATGGTCAACATCTAGCTCGGTGGTCCTATCCATACAGAAAATTCCCCCTCTGGAGAAGCTGTGAACTCACCACCTTCAGCTGTAGCATGTGGGCACCAGCCACCTCATGCTGTGGTTGAACCTCACCTGTTCCTCCAGTTGCTGCTTCTGCTTCTTTGCTTTGCTCTGCTTGTAATAGTCCATGATCATCATGGCTGCATATATTTTGCCAACAGTCAGGTCTGAAGCTGCAAGCATAAAGGTGGGTATTTTGTGATAACCGAAGCAGGAGTTGGGAAGGTCTGAGGATACTAACCCCATGCAACTGCAGAAGAGATATCACATCCTCTTGATTCTCAAAGACAATCCCTGTTCACTGCTCCAGAGGAGAGTGGATTAAAATAAAATAAAATAAAAAGTCCCCAGGGTGATTTAGGATTGGGTGGAGATGGACATTTTAGTAGCATAGGAATCATTCACTAGAGATAGGCGTACCCATCACATGGTCACTGGTCCCAAATCAAAGGAAATGAAGAATTCTCTGCCTCCTGCCTCCAGCGTCTCTAAGGCTGCCAACCCTATTTGAATCTATTCCGGGAGTTTTCATCAGGTGATGTAATGACACGAATTGTGGTGTGTGGACTTTACGTCAGGGAGGCAAATGCATGTTACTATTGCATTTTAAAAACCCTCTGGACTACTGTATAAATCAGATTCAACATTTAATATTTATTGTAATTAATTGAATGCTCTATCATTTATCTCCCAGGTTACTCTCAGCAATCTGGAGATTTATATCTAATTCCTGGTGACTCCAGGGCAAACCTGGAGGGTTGGCAACCCTGAGTATCTCCCAGATGGATCAGAGACTGTACCCAGATTAAATGGATTTGGCATGGGGAGATCACTGCAGATAATGTATTTTTCAAATGGGTCCAGTATAGTCAGGTGAAACAAGGAAGGATTTTCTTTGTATCAGAGTAAATCCCCTCTCTGCTTCTCCTTAAACAATGTGCCAGGATTGGCACATCTTTGTTCACCTTCCAGGAAATGCCTGCTCCCAGCACTGTGGGAACTTGGCAACACCAGTGCACAAGGACTCACTTTTTGGCATGGGCACTAGTAAGTCCAGCATCTTCTGGGATAGGTGAGGCCAGATGGTCAGGATCTCCTTCTGCAGCTCTGAATCCAACTGCTGCCAGTCTGCACCACCTGGAAAACAGGGACAGTATAGGCCCATGCAAACCACAGACAGAAATGGTTTCAGGAAGGTGGTCTACTACCTCTTGGCTATGTTTATCTACATTTTCCACCCTAACAAATCACATTAACCACCTTGGACCTGATGGTGCTAGCTCCTGGCACTGGATCGAGCTGAACACACTCCTTTAAGACTCTGAGGATTTGGCCTGAAGAATGAGGTGGCACCATCAAGCCATGATTGGGGAAGTGTCTCCAACCAACAACTGAAAACATGCAAAGGCTTAATACAATGGGGTTACAGGAGCCAGAGGGGGAAGGG